GTGCTATAGATAAAAGGAGTCTTCAGCATAAATACTAATAGCATTGGACTTTTAAAAAATATGGATTACCTTGAATGCAATTAATTGAATTGTTTAAAACTCTCCACTAACAAATTTCTTAGATTAGGATGAATGAAAACTAACACAAGACAACGGATAGTTTATATGCATCATATGTAAATTCCTGCTTGCTCAAAATCAAAATTCAGAAGGAATGAAATTCTTCAAAAATTCGAGAACCATAGTCTTTATTTTATTTACTCTGACTTGTTGTCCTTATTTGAATTAATTTCTTTTCGAGCCTAATATACATGATTAATTAAGACCTATCAAACAAGTCCAATATTGTCATAGTAATTCTCGCAACTTCAATTATTTAATAATTAATCTTCCGATATCGAGCATTCGATAGAAACTATAAATCTTAATTGAGTCAGTACTTATGCAAATACTAACTCTAATACTATTAGGCGTAACTTAAAATTTTATTATAATTTGTCACAAAATATTTTGAAAGGCAAACACGTAATTAACACAGACTAGACTAAGCTAGCATACTTACTTACATGACCGCTTAAAGCACATAAATTGGGAAAATTTTGTAGTGCCTTGCTGAGACACAATTGAAGTAGACCCAGACCCTTTTAGCAATCAGAAGATTTCATATTTTAAAGCGATAGTTTTTCCCAAATTTTTGGAAAGAAGAAATGCGAGCTGGTACAATTTTCCCAATTTATGTTCTTTTAAGTGGTCATGTAAGTATGCTAACTTAGTTTATTCTATGTTTTAATTACATGTTTCCCTTTCAAAATATTTTGTGACAAATTATAATAAAATTTTAAGTTATGTTTTGTCCACTAATCATATTAGAGTTAGTATTAGCAAAAGCCGTGATTCATTTAACATTTCTAGATTTATAGAATGCTCGATATCACAAGACTAAATAATAAATTAATGATGTTGTGAGAATTGCTATGGTAGTATTGGGCTCGTTTGATAGGTCTTAATTAATAAGGTATATTAGGCTAGAGAATAAGTTAATTAAGAACAACCAAGTTAGAGTAAGTAAAAGAAAAACTATGGTTCTTGAATTTTGGAAGAATTTCATTCCTTAAAGCTTTGATTTTCAGCCGATAGGAATTAGACTATCCATTATCTTGAGTTAGTTTTCATTCATCCTAAAATCCTAATCTAACAAATTTGTTACTGGAGAATTTGAAACAATTTGTTAGTTAATTAGTATTTTTAATTCCATTCTGGATAAACCATTTTTTCAGAAGTCCAATGCCATTAGAATTAATGCTAAAGACTCCTGCCATCTAAAATACACGTCTGCCTAAATTCTACCTTCACGTTATTTTACTTATTCCTTCCCTTTTCCTTTGATAACACAGCAACAACAGATACATAAAGATAGATCAAAATTGAAATTCAAGTAAACGAGAAACACACAGTACACAAACCCCTAAGATTTATTTTGAAAGAGGTAGATTGAGACCCCCTTTTTATTTCAATTCATGTTATGTTTCAGCATTTATAATTGTGATTTCATGTTATATGAGACTCCTTATAGTTTAAATATGAAATGATGGCATAGTAGTGCACCTGATATATGAAATTGGTGGAATAGTAGTCACCAAATGTTGGTACATGACCTGATGATCAATATACTTATTCAGTAAAAAGTTTAAATGACATAAACATATGTTTGAAGTATGATATGTTTGGATTTAACGTGTGTACAAATCTGTTGAGTGCTTCTTTGAAATACTCAACCCCCTAAGAATTTCAGATTAATGCGATTGATGGAGGCGTGAACGAGAGCGGTGGTGCTTTGATGTGAGCTCCAAAATCATCATTTAAGTCATGTTTTGTTCGAACCATTATTTAAACTTCGGAGAAAATTTTAATTTAGTGTTTTTGAAAGTTTAAACACCAACTGTTTGATGGAAATTGGTTCAAGGTGGATACAATATTTTATTGTGATTATTTAGTTTATTTGAGTTGCAGGACTAATGTTTAACTATTTTCAATTTCTGCCCCTACGTTTAAAAATTTGCCTTGAACAAAATACTTGGAATTTGAAAACGTAACCATATAGGTTTCTTATCTCTTGGATTTGGAATCATAGATTTTGATTGTGTAAAACTCAAGTTATGGGCTCTTTTTGAGGGCTACCAGAAGGTAGCCGAGAAGAAATAGGTCCGAATTTGAAAATGATTTTGACCCATCTTTCGATTAAATTTGCAAACAAAATTTTAACCTGTAATATAATTATAGTTTAAGATTTGTAAACATTGGATTACTTTTGGTTGCCGATCGAATTTTTTCCCTGAAAGCTATCCATGTAAAAATCTTAGTTTATGTGTTTAAACTTTTCTTCAGTCTGTAACTGATCCCTGAAGCCCTAAAGCTTCTGCTCCAAGTTAATTTCCGGATATTATGAACAATCTAGGTAGAATTTTAAAAATTTAAGATTTTAGCAATGTATCGAGTCCCTAGAGATCCGAGCATTACTAGGATTCTACTCAAGTCTCTCATAAGGCACAAGTCAAGGATTCGAATCCTGAGGACGCAATAGAAATTCGTGAGAGGTATGATGTTCTCCCTATATGGATGTTACATAAGTTAACGGTTTGGATATAGAGGACAGGTCGTTATAGGCCTCTAATATGTTATGCCTCAAACTTTCTTCTTCGTTCACTATTTTTTGTAGCATGAACGTCATCATTCTTGAAAGTGATTGGAAAGAATCTATTAAACTGCCACTTGACTGGTTGGGTCATCGCATTTATAAGCTCACATGAGTTTCCCATTCCCTTCCCGCATTACCCTAATGCTCGTGTATGGTCACATGCAATGGTGAATGCCAGCTAAGCATCGAACCTACCATCGAGTCTACCTTTGACTTACTATGAAAATAATGAATTTTAAATTTTTGAAAGTGTTTTCATACTAATATGGACGAAATCAACCTGAAAATCAACAATTTTTTTTTAAACATATATATGTTATAAATTCAGGGCCACCTTCCTCTCTAAGTACAGTAACCAAAACAAACGTACATGCAACTCGATCTTTAGTGCCCTGTAAGATAAATATCCCTGAAATGCACAAAAAACTACAGAAAATTTAGTGAACCATTAGACCATATACATATAACATAAAATAACTTATTCAAGAGAGATCATAATAGCGGTGGGTAGCTGGGTAGCTAAAAATAACAAAAACAAATAAAAATTTTGAATCCAATTATGAAAAAATAAGTTCAATTTAAAAACTTTATTCTCCATCAACGGTGCCAAAAACTTATTTATGCAAGATTCGCTAGTATACAAGATCATTGACAAATAATAATGTAATAAGTTAAAAGTGTCATTCCACAGGGAATAAACATTAAAGTTAATTGTATTAATGAGTTATCAAATTCAAATGTAAAGTAACAAAAGTGATACATTTTATTTTTTCTAAATTAATATACTAGTTATATAACATTATGATTAACAAAAATATGGGATGAATGTGAAGGAATTAAGAATTTGCCTTTTATCATCTTATTTCTAATTCTCGACATATGTAGTTGAGTGTGATTTGTGCATTCATGACAATCCATAGTTCAGTTTTATTTAAATATCCTTGTTGAGGTAAGTTAACGATCTGATCCTATTTCTAGTTCAAATTTATATGCAAAGCAAAGTATTAAATCATACCATTTTCTATATGGTTGAACATGCACTACGCGTGTCATTCCTAACAACGTGCACTAAAATTGCAAAATTTTAGTCCTCTTGCGAGTCTCCCATCACTACAACAAGAAGCTAATTTCCTAATTAGTGATCAAGCAATTAAATAATTTAACAAAGCATACAAGATCAGTCAAGAACACAAATTAACTAACCTACTTGGTCTTTGAGCTAAAAGTAAATTATAAATAATAATTATAAATTAAAAATAATAATAATAATAATAATAATAATAATAATAATAATAATAATAATAATAATAATAATAATAAGGTTTATCTTCATCCTAACACAAAAGAAATATAGCTTTGCATGTTTTTTAAAGATAAAAACAACAATTGAATTGGAAAAATCATCACCCAGAATTTATAAATACAAGAATGAGAAGGGAAATCTAATTATTGTTCTTGATCTTCAATTTCAAGATTGATTCTTCAAATTCTTGATATTTCTTGATTTGGATTCCTTGCTAGATTTGTTTTCCTATCCATCTTATGATGAATTTACCCCTTGTTCTTAAAAGATTTTATGTTGTGAATTCATATGAGAGGTGGCACACCGATATTCCTCAATGTTTTGCCCTTATAGATTATAAAATTAGGTCAAGAAATGCATCCAATTTGAGTTCCAATAAAGTTTGTATCATATAAGGAAAGTTGGCCCATGCCTACTACGGTACAGCCGCTTTTCTATGAACGGGAATGTGAAATTGGTCTCAAGAACCAAAAAAGGCCCTCCCACACTCAAGAGCATGTGCAATATGAAAACAGCTAAGTGGGCATTTAGTATATTGTTGTTAAAAATAGAAAGATTATTTAGAATTATGTTTTCTTTTAGTGTAGGATTATTTACCTTAGTCATTGATTGTGTAATTTTTCCTTTTACGTTATTTCCTTTTCCAATTATTTGTAACCCTATAAATAGGACTTTCTCTACATTGTAATAATCATAAAACCATCAATAATAAAATTTCTATTATTATTCTTAACATGGTATCAGAGCAGGTTTAACTTGGTTTTGGGTTAAACTTGCAAATTTTCATTCTCTGGCAAGTGGCAAATTTTTGTTTTTATTTTGTTACAATTTTTTTTGTTCTTGTCATGAGAAAATCATGGATTAGGTTGCAAGATTTTTCATCCTCCAGTTCTCGTGGCTTTTTGTGCCTTCGAATCCCGTGCAAAGTGGGTGTTAAGAGGTCTCACTGAAAAATTTGACAAAGAATTGTAGCCAATTCCTCCTTCCGCTTCTGCCACATGAATGAAGGTGCCATTGAATGAAGCAAAGATGTGGGCCACACCAAACACTAGTCCACCATCAATAGTGGCAGCCCACTATATTCTCCTAGAAGCTGCATATTGCCGAGCACGCCTGAATCCGCCATTGCCTGTTAACTATTTTGGGAATTGTTTGGTTATTATTTCCCTAATTCTTCTCTTTTAATATTTTAATTTTTAAAATTGTTTAAAACCAAAAAAAAAAGTTTTTTTTTTACTTTTTCTTGTGAAAACAAAAATTGGAAAGGTCGGTATCTTAAATTTTACCGGCTCTCCCCTTGCCTCTTAAATAAACTAGAGGCTTTGAAAACAAAATTTTTGGAGGATCGGTACCTCGAATTTTACGGGCTCCTCCCGTGCCCCTTAAACAAACTAGGGGTTTTCTACCTCTTAAACAAATTAGAGGTTTTTAAAAACAAAAATTTGGAGGGTTGGTACCCTGAATTTTATCGGCTCTCTCGTGCCCCTTAAACAAACTAAGGGTTTTCTATCTCTTAAACAAATTAGAGGTTTTAAAAACAAAATTTTGGAGGGTCGCTACCTTAAATTTTACCGGCACTCCCCCTGCCTCTTAAACAATCTAGAGGTTTTTTCTTCTGTTTAAAAAAAATTTAAAAAAATGAAAATTTGATTGGATTGAAGAGTTGATTGATCAAACTCAATATTAAGATTTGATTGGTCAAACTCAATATTCTACACCATATTGAGTTTGAGGGGAAGGTGTTAAAGATAGAAAGATTATTTAGAATTATATTTTCTTTTAGTGTAGGATTATTTACCTTAGTCATTGATTATGTAATTTTTCCTTTTACATTATTTCCTTTTCCAATTATTTGTAACCCTATAGTAGGGCTCTCTCTACATTGTAATATTAACAAGACCATCAATAATAAAATTCCTTTTATTATTCTTAACAGATATAAAGAAGAGGTTTCTGCTCCAAAATATGTTGAATACTTAATGGGGTGGATTGAAACTCAGCTTGACGATGAGTCAATATTTCCACAGAACTTAGGTATGTGGAACTGCACTATCTTTTTAACATTATGTTCTTGATCAACACATTATATCTGTATTAACGATTTATTCTGACACAGGTTCTCCATTCCCTCCCAACTTTCACAATGTCGTTAAAATCATATCCAAGAGAATGTTTCGTGTCTATGCGCATATCCATTGCTCACATTTCCAGAAGATTGTAGCTCTTAAAGAAGAAGCTTATCTGAATACTTGCTTTAAGCATTTCGTTCTCTTCACTTCCGTAAGTTTATCTTCTTCATCGCACTTTTTGTATACCTCCAAACTTAAATTGCTGCAAAAACCAGTCATTTTGAGAAAAATTCTTCATCGGTGTTAGGAGTGAATCTCTGCAGAAAATATTCTCATCTACATAACAGATTTGCAGAATTATAGGAGTGAATTATGTACATAATATCAGCATAGTTAATTTCTTATACATTATGTGCTTGAGATTAGCCATCAATTACTCAAGTTTGTTGTAATCAACTCTATATAATACCAGTAAATGCTTGCTGTTCTGGAGTGCAATGCCAGACGATTTATCTTCTATTTTTAGGTTTTACATGGTATCAGAGCATTAGTTAGGACACTCCTAACTCAGAACGTAAGCTTCCGCACCAAATTTTTTTTTTCAACATGTCTATAGCTTCAAATACATTCACTGAAAATACCAATCCCTCACCTACACTCACCTTTCAAAATATCTCTTCTCAAATACAACATAAGATGGATGGAACCAACTATCTCCAATGGCTTACACAGATTGTTCCACTACTTCGAAGCTACGAACTTATGGGGTTTGTTGATGGTTCACAATCCACTCCTCCTAAAACTCTCCCTGATGATTCTCCCAATCCAGCTTATAGAATCTGGTACAGGAAAGAGCAACATCTTTTGAGTTCAATCCTTTCTTCTTTAACTGTTAATGTTATTTCGACAGTTTATGGTCATAACACCTCCAAGCAAGTTTGGAATGCCCTAGCCTCTCGATATTCTGCACAATCTCGTTCCAGATTGGCTCATCTAAAACGCTAACTACAAACTATCTCTCAAGGGTCACGTTCCTGCAATGACTTTATTGACACTGTCAAATCCATTGCAAATCAACTGGCAGCTGCAGACAAAACATTTGATGAACAAGATCTCATCTCATATATTCTTGCACTTCTGAATCCTTCTTACAACTCATTTGTCACCTCGTTCACTTTGGCTTCTAGAGACAAGAAATTCACTCTGGAAGATTTTGTGGCTGAGCTACTTGGCTGTGAATCTATGATGGATGCTCAAAATTCCTCTCATGTTATCAATGACACACATTTTGCTATGGTTGCTACCAAGGGAAAGGGTATAATGCCAAAATTAAAAACTTTTACCTCAAAAGGCAACAATCTTGGACAGCAAAGGAGATCAATTCCTGCTTCTTCTGGCAACCATCTGCCAACCCCACCAGCACAACAAATGAGTGATGTTTCTCCTCCAATTTTTAAAGAAAAATGCCAGATCTGTGACAAAACAAGTCATAAGGCTCTCGACTGTTACCACGGGTTTGACTATTCTTACCAGGGACGACATCCACCATCTCAGCTGGCTGCCATGGTTTCCGAAAGGAATGTTTAATATGAGAATCAAGTTTGGTTTGCTGATAGTGCAGCCAATGCACAAATTACATCAAATGTTGAGAACTTCTCCAACCAACAGCCCTACCATGGAGTTGAATCTGTCACTATAGGAAATGGCTCAGGTTTGCATATTAAGAATACTGTCTCTACCTCCATATAGATTTGGAAAACAAAATTCCATCTTACTAATGTCTTACATTGCCCTTCAGCATCTTCAAACTTGATTTCTATAAATAAATTCTGTTTAGACAATGATTGTTTTTTTTTAGTTACTGGAAATGATTTTTCTGTGAAAGAGAAAAACACGGACATGATTCTTCTCCACGGAATGGTTGAGAATGGTCTTTATCCACTTGCATTCAATAATACCTCCACAAATAAACTGCAGTGTCATACAGATACTGTAGGAGTCAAAGCATCCTTAAATCGTTGGCATTCTAGATTAGGGCATCCAGCGACATCTGTTTTGCGCAATTTAGTTCATTCACACAATCTTCCTAGTTTAAATTCAGCAAATAAACTTGACTTTTGCAATTCTTGTCAACCAGGCAAAGTAAAACAATTGTCATTTCCTTCTTCAGATCGTCACACAACAAGATGTTTAGAACTAGTTCATTCGAATGTTTGGGTTGCACCAATTAGTTCAATAAGTAGATCTAAATTCTATGTCTTGTTTATTGATGATTTTTCCAGATTTTCATGGTTGTATCCCTTATATCACAAGTCAGACGTTTTTCCTCCATTTGTGAAATTTAAAGTGCTTGTTGAAATTCTTTTCTCTACTTCTATCAAACAATTTCAATATGACAATGGTGGTGAATTTCTATCTAGTCAATTTAAAGATTTATTCACAAAATGCAGGATCTACCATCGTTTAACATGTCCATATACATCTCAGCAAAATGGTGTTGCTGAGAGAAAACATCGTCATATTCAAGAGATGGGACTTACATTACTTGCTGATTCTGGTTTATCACAAAATTATTGGGTTGATGCCTTCCAAACATAAATTTTCCTAATTAATAGGTTGCCGACTAAAGTTCTGGAACATGAAACATGACACGCCATATTTTAAGCTATTTAATCGACATCCTAACTATCTAGAACTAAAAACTTTTGGCTGTGAATGTTTTCCTCTGTTACGTCCACATCAGCCACATAAACTATCATTCAAAAGCAAAAAATGTATATTTTTGGGGTACTCTAATAACCATCGAGGCTATAGGTGTTTGGATTTCTCCACAGGTAGGGTATACATTTCACGACATGTTGTTTTCAATGAGGAGTCTTTTCCTGCAGGTCAAATTGATCATTCTCAGGTTCCTATGTCGAGCAAAGTCCTGAAGGGTAAGTCTTCTGGTGAAATTCAACCAGTTAGTATGAATAATGTTCCTTGTCTTGCAAATTTATCTACTCCTACAATTGCTACCGACATCTCTCCTAGTCCAACTCAACACCAACCACAAAGTACAGAATAACCTTTCCATGATTTCAGGTCAAATATCTTGCATATTCCCAATGATTTACCACCTGGTTCATCCACACCTGATTCCTTTACTCAAGATAGAATTGATGTACCCTCTCCCGACACACACCCTAATGATCATCCTTCACCGATTCCTATCATAACTTTGGCTAGAGAATTACCTATAGATTCCACATCTCAACCAAATAGCGCTCATCTAGTTGTCACTCGATCTCAGACAAGAAATTCCAAACCAAAATCTTTTCCTGATTTCAAAGTCTTTTACTCCACAAAGCATCCGTTGCAAGTTCTCAGCAGTGTTCTAACAGATTCTGAAACTGAGCCATCTTCCTATAGTCAGGCAACATCTTCTCCACAGTGGCATGCTGCCATGGGAAGAGAATTTGAAGCTTTGATGCAGAATGGTACGTGGTATCTCTGTCCAAAACCTCTTAATCATAATATTGTGCGTAACAAGTGGGTTTATAAAATTAAACGAAACCCCGATGGCAGTATTGAAAGACTCAAAGCATAATTAGTCGCTAAAGGATTTGATCAGAAAAGTTGCATTGATTTCCATGAAACTTTTAGTCCTACAATTAAACCTGCTACTGTCAAATTAGTACTTGCTCTTGCAGTCTCTTTTAACTGGCCAATTCGACAATTAGATGTATCTAATGCTTTCTTGCATGGTACTCTTGAAGAGGAGGTCTACATGGTACAATCAAAAGGATTTGTTGATCCAAATTATCCAGATTATGTTTGCAAATTGCACAAATCTCTTTATGGTCTCAAATAGGCACCACGTCAGTGGTTTCTACGTCTCGGTTAGCAATTACTAGAGTTTGGTTTTCGGGCATCTTCGGTGGATCATTCTCTTTTTATGTTTCATTCTTCTACTCTAACAGTTTTTATCCTTATATATGTTGATGATATCATAATAACTGGATGTCATGAGCGCAGAATATTTTATATTATTGAAAAATTGAAGGATAGTTTCAGCATGAAGGATCTCGGGCCTTTAAACTATTTTTTGGGTATTCAAGCATCTCAGAATACTAATGGTCTTCACTTAAGACAGAAAAAAAATATATCTCTGATTTGCTTCACCGTGCAAAAATGGCAGGTGCTAAGCCACTTAATTCTCCAACAACAAGTGGTACCAAACTATATGCTCACGATGGTGATTTACTCAAAGATCCTACTGAGTATCGTCAAATAGTTGGTAGCCTTCAATATTGCACGTTGACACGCCCTAACATTGCATACATGGTTAATCAATTGTGTCAATTTATGCATAATCCACGCTCAACCCATTGGTTAGCAGTCAAATGTGTGCTTCGGTATCTTAAGGGATCTATTGATTTTGGATTCTATTATACTCTCTCATCTACATCCCTCAATGTCTTTTGTGATTAAGATTGGAAGGGCAATCCGGATGATAGAAAGTCTACAAGTGGTTATGGAGTTTTCTTAGGCAATAACTTGATTTCTTGGTCTGCCAAGAAACAAAATGTAGTTTCTCGATCAAGTACTGAGGCGGAGTATCGCTCTATAGCAATGGCTACTGCTGAACTTTATTGGCTAAGAATGGTGTTTTAAGAGTTGCAAGTAGTGCTACCATCACAACCAGTGTTATGGTGTGATAATATAAGTGCCATAGCTTTAGTTACGAAACCAGTGTTTCATGCTTCTACAAAACATATTGAAGTTGACTATCACTTTATTCGTGAGAAGGTTGTGAATCGTGACATTGCTATAAAGCACAACTCTACTCATGATCAAGTTGCTGATATCTTCACGAAAGGACATTCGGCACCTCATTTCATTTGTCTTCGTTCCAAACTGTTGGTTTGTCTCCTTCCCATCAGTTTGCAAGGGGGTGTTAGGAGTGAATCTTTGCAGAAAATATTCTCATCTACATAACAAATTTGCAAAATTATAGGAGTGAATTATGTACACAATATCAGCATAGTTAGTTTCTTATACATTATGTGCTTGAGCTTAGCCATCAATTGCTCAAGTTTGTTGTAATCAACTCTATATAATACCGGTAAATGCTTGTTGTTCTGGTGTGCAATGCCAGACAATTTATCCTCCATTTTTAAGTTTTACAATCGGGTGGATGCATTTAGGTCATTTTTTGACATGTCAATTAAATCTTGTTGTGGATACAGCTGCACTTGATTCATTGATCTTGCTCTTAGTCAGAGTAGGCTTAACAACCATTATGGGTTAGAAAGAGAACTTTTATGCTATGCGAGATAATATTAATTAATGTCCCATGTTAAAAAGAAGCATAAGATGTGGTTAATATTCTCTTGGTTATGCCTTTTTCTCTACATTTATTATTTAGTTGACTATTTCGTTTAATGTGCTTGTCAACTAGATCATCTTATGCAAGAATGTGGCCTGATAGACAAGAGAGAGCTTGCACCTGTTTCAGAGATTGTTGAGACTATTCTAGAAATCTAGAAGCTCATTCATTCTTTATTTATATATTAGCAAGATTATCTTGGCATCCTTGAGTCCTTAAAAAGTCATCCAATCTCCTCAACCGATTTGAACTAGTTTGAGGGCAATGTGAAATCCAAAAAAAAAAAAAAAAAAAAAAAAAAAAAATTGAACTTTTTGTTGATTACCTGCGTGTAAGTTTTGACGCCTAGTACCTAATGAACCTTTGTCAGTATTGTCATGGATCTATTTTGAAGTGTAATGAAGTTAACTTTTGTTCTTATTCTGTTTTAATGAGTAACTTGAACCATTTTAGCTATACTGTCTTTACTTAATTGATTGAGGCAGGGACGGAGTCAGACGTTCGATATTGTGGGGTCGAAAATTGAAATACAATTTTTTTAAACAACATATCATTAATGAAGATAGATCAGTACACTACTACAACTGTATTATCCAACTAAATTATACAAGTTGAGGTTAAAACATATTGTCCAATCTCATAATATATCAAATTTTCATATCTTCGACTTCCAAACGACATTTATAAGCGATCATTGCTAACAAAATTGTTGTTTTTGACTTCTATCATTTTCAAACTAAAAATATTTGAATATTTTATTCAATTTAATTTAAATATGAAGATAAAACGAGCTAAAAATTGAACTATGCAATAGAGGGAAATAATAGAAAATCTAGACTGTTTGAGAACTTGTGGTCATAATTTTGAAAAACTATGAACATTATGTTGAATCATTCATCTGTGTTAAGCATTCAAACTTTCAGTTTTAGACGAGATAACCAACAATGGGAATGTGGTCGAGAATATTTCTCAAATCTTGAATTCAAATGAATTTAAGAATAAAAACATATAAAATCAAACAAGTATGTTGTTGATTTGTTACCTAGACGGAAGAAAAATCACAAAATTAGCACAAGAAGAGAAAATCCAAAAATTTGAATGGTAGACCACTGTGTCAATTCTTCTATCTATGGTGCTTAGAGCAAACTCAAAATGCATATGAAAAGCCACGTGAAGGAGTGGAGAGAAAATGAACTGGTCACTTGAGATTCGACAAGTGAAAGAACAAAAATGGGCTTGTGCAATTGGACTTGGCAATGAACAATGTTTGGACAATTTACATTTTTAAAATTTTAAAATTTTAAATTTAAAAAAAAAAAAAAAAGAAGAAGAAGAAGAAGAATTGAAATTTTGTGGGGTCAATTGACCCCACGTGGGTCCGTCCATGGCTTGAGGGATACCAAATATCTGTTGAGCTTGCTTCTCTTTGCACGAAATTATAGTATAATAGAAAATATTTATTTTCAACTTTTTTTTTTGTTTTGGTAACATTTATTTAAGTGTCTTCCCTATATCTTTACTTTCTGTTACATAATAATTCAGAAATTTCTAATAGTCAAGTCAAAGAAAGAAGAAAGAGAAAAATAATTAGATGCAGTCCTAAGTAAAACTCGTCATCGCTAAAATAAGGCTGTTGGGTTTTGACACTCAATAATCCGGGCAATAATTTAAAACAGTTGTCGAATTATTTATCGACACCATGAATTTGGCTCAACTCGAAAACGAACTATACTTTTGGATGGCTCGGGTTGGGGTTGGATGGTTCTTTAGTTAGTTGGATCATTTAGTGATTAATATGAAGTTGAATATTAGCCCATTAGTTTAGATTAATTGGTAGCGCAGTTAATGAACATTTGGCCCAGTTGGAGTGACCTAAACTAACCCTACATATACCATATTCTTGCAGTCGTTTTCGTGATGGTAGGCAAGTTTGTGTTGAGAAAGGGAGAGTCGAAAGAGAGAGATGGTCGAAAGGTGAGGGCTAGTCGGCTTGATGGTCGTCGGAGTGAGTCCACCATTGTTGCTTCTTCTTCTTCCCGTTACCACCACCATCCTTCTCCTTTTAAGAGAGTTTGAGCCGTTCAAAGTGAATGAGAGTTCTTAGGTCGTGCCCAGGTAAATCGGTGTTAGTTTGATTATTTTCTGAGCCCAAAGTCAAGAGTTATTGAGGGATTTCTAGGACAAATGGTATTAGAGCTTGTGTTGTTTATAAATCTGTGGTTTTTGGGACTAAAAACAGGTTGGAAGTGGTCAAAAATAGACATGGAAATCAGAGGCAGAAATTGTCCAGTTTTTCAATTTTTACTGGATCTATTTTTTGCATTCTCTGGTAAAACCAAAAAGAGTTTGGAGAAACGGACACCACCGGTAGACTGTGCAGGCGGAGACGTATCTGGAAGGGTGGCGCTTGGCCATCGACGCCAGAAGATGTTGGCAAAGCGCGTACGGGCATGTCTGGGAAATTCCGACGAGGGTGTCTTCAGACAGAATATTACCGAAGATGAGATGGACCCCGCTGTATTGTCGGATTTCAGTTTCGATCAATACATTGAAAGTTGGACGATTTTGTCCTTGGACGTTCGGGTGCTGGATGTCCTTTTTGTGTTGTTGCGGTTGCCAGAAACTTTGGGATGGAGAGTGATATTCCTAAAGTGATGAATTCGCATGTCTCGATATTTATGGACCTTCAGATGTGGTCCGCTAGGATTGTGTTATTTACCTTTTATTATTGCAGTTAAAATTATTGTTATGGTAATTATTTATTTTTCGCATTATAAGTCATAGCGTGGGGTAACATTAGGTTTGGGGTTACCGTGAAGGGGTAACCATTGCCTGTTGCTAGAACTAGAAATTACACGTTAATTATTTTCCTTAAAGTCTTTGTGAATTTGTTACCAATTTTTCTACACCGTTAGAATTGTATGTGACCTTAGGAAAGTTTATTTGACTATTCTATGTGAATTATGTTAATACGTTGCTTGTGGTCATTATTTAATATTGATGGCATGTATAGGCCTAAGGCAAGTGAATAAATAAAATATGTTTTAACTGTGGTAAAATTTGGATATAGTTGAAAGAGACTGTCCTGAAAGATAATAAAAGGAAAGATGAGGATAAAGACGAGGCGAATGTGGCTGTAGTGTCAGGTGGAAAGTGAGAGAGACACTTTTATCACTTCTGTAAGATGGAGATCCATTATCCACGTAAATTGGAAGAAGTGACATGGTGATAGAGAATTATCCCAAAAAGTTAGGATCTATTGTGACTTACTAGTTAGACATGAATTGAGTGATCATCTAGTGAGCATGGTGGGCGATGAGAAGAGATATCTATTTTTGAGATGGGAATAACACGAAGTGGGATAGGATAGGTGTGGTGAAATCTTTTCGGGGTCATTTTTCATTTGTTGCATATGTGTTTGACCGTGTGTTCATTAACTTGGTGTTAATATGTGGTTCTGGGTAGGGATGTCAAACGGGCCGAACGGCTCGTCGGCTCGACTGCTAAGCTCGTTAAAACCTGGCTCTTGGGCAGCTCGGGCTCGTCAAATGACAAGCTCGAGCTCAAGAGCTCTCATCAAAAAATCTCAATTTTTTTTAAAAAAAATGTCCAAAACGTACAATTTACCAAAAAATTAAAAAAATCACGAGCTCATGAGCCGCTCGTGAGCTAGGCTTGGCCCGCGAGCTTGTGGCTCGTGAGCTCGTGAGCTCGTGGCTCGTGAGCTCATGAGCTCGTGGGTCGAGCCGAGCTCGCCCCCGAGCAACGAGCTGAGCTCGAGGTTGGCTCGTCTTCCACGAGCCACGAGCCCGAGCCGAATCGACTCGGCTCAGCCCATTGCCATCACTAGTTCTATGTGAACGTGATTTTGAAAAAATCTGTGTGTTATCCTATATAATATTTTCATCGCATGATTATATGTTCACTGTGAATACTTATTTCTACTTGGGTGTTCTTGACCTTAGCCCTGGTGAGTACATGGAGCAGGTATGGTACGTGTTTCAGGTTCGAAACACAAGGTAAGGTCTGTGATACCAATTTTATTGGATTATCTTGATTGTGCAAGTATAAACTTTGTGTTTTGTTTGCTTGCAGATTATTGGACATCAAGGTAGAGATTGTCGGATTTTGATACCCAATAATACAGATGATGATTTAAACTAGTTATCGGATTATTTATCGACACCATGGACTTAGCTCGACTCGGAAACAAACTATACTTTTAGATGGCTCGGGTTGGGGTTGAATGGTTAGTTGGACCATTTAATGATTAATATGAAGTTGGATATTAGCCCATTAGTTTAGGTTAATTGATAGCCCACGTTGTGAACCTTTGGCCCAATTGGAGTGACCTAAACTAACCTTATATATGCCATCTTCTTATAGCCGTTTTCGTGATGGTAGGTGTGTGTGTTGAGAGAGAGAAGAGCTGAGAAAGAGAAAGAGATGGAGGAAAGGTGAGGGGACAGCCAGCTTGGTGGTTGTTGGAGTGAGTCCACCATTGTTGCTTCTTCTTCTTCCCATTACCACCATCATCCCTTCTCCTTTTGAGAGAGTTTGAGCAATCCAAAGTGAAAGAGAGTTCTTGGGTCGAGCCGAGGTAAACCAATGTTCGTTTGATTGTTTTCTGAGCTCGAAATCAAGGCTTATTGAGGGATTTTTGCGACAAAGGCTAATCCATATGTATTGAGTATGTATCTCAAATCCATGACAAGACTACATAGAACTTAAGATTATGGCTATTTTCAATTTGTTACATCTTTCATGCAGGTTGTGGCTAGCAAATTTTGCCACCCTAACCCCCATACGCAGGAAGAATCCTGTATAAGAAAGAATTGTTCTTCTCTTCCATGTCGCCATACTGTGGCCATAGCAAAGGATCACTCTTTTCCTCGTTTCAGTAAGAGGGCTAGAGGTGAAATGGTCCGTTGGTCTTTCATGAATATCCGTAGCCAGGATACACTAGAATTCTAGTAACTGATTTTCAAACACGTAAACTATTTCCAATTTTAGGCAGCTTATCATTGATAAAAATTAGTGTTTTGAATTATCTCGAAAAGGTAAATGATCAAAGGTTTTCAGGTTCAACCAGTTTGGATTGGAAATTAAAAATAATTGACACGTCCCGTCTCGAATCACCCTAATGGACTAAAAACGT